CAACTAACACCCTTCCTAATTTCATTTACAAAATGGGAAATGCAAAGAAAACTACTACCACACCTAGCAAAAGGACACAAATGTGAAAGACTGACAATCCAAGTGTAGACAAGTATATGGAACAATGTAAACTTTCATATGCTGCTGGTAGAGTATAAATTGGTACAAGTATTTTAGAAAACTATTTGGTATTATATACTACAATTTAATATAATTTTGTGTCCCAGAAATTCTAGTTATATACCATCAGTAATGTGTATGCATATGAAAAAGACATGCATAAGAATGTTTATGGCTATATTATTTACAGTAGCCTCAAAACGGTAACAACCCAAATGTCCAGCTACAGAATAAAATTTTTTTTTGCTATATTCATTCACTGGACTGCTATATAATGATGAAAACAAGTTACTGCTATATGCAACAGGGCAGATAAACCTCACAAATATAACATTGAACAAAGAAATCAGACACAAGAAATGCTTATAGTATAATTCTACTTTTATAAAGTTAAAAAAAAAAAAAGCAAACTTGGTTTCTCGAAGAATGGGGAGGGTCTGGGGCTGGGTTGCTAGTTCTATTTCTTTGACCTAGGTAGTGGTTACACATGTTCAGTATATGATAATTTAATGACAAGATTTGTGCACTTTCCTGTATATTTGCTATACTTTAATTAAACAGTTTGAAGTATAGCAAATATAGTTGGATATAAAAGCAAGGATGCAAAATTAACAGTTAAGGAAAAACAATAATAATAGCTTTGTGAAGCAAAATATCAGACATTGTAAAGTGTTCCTCGGAGCCCCCTTTCTTCTTTTGGAGGTGGCCCATAACCTTTTCTCAAGCTCCCTAAAGATGTGCAACATTCATACTTATATTTATCTACATTTAAGACCAAGCACCCAGAATAGTGTCTACAATAGCTCTTTAATCACTGTTGTCAAATGACAGTCCATTGGTCCTTCAGTTGAAAAGCAAAACAGTGATTTGGGTAGAAGTCAGAGGTGGCACAAGCAAACTTCCTTAGCAATGTTGTTGAGGTATACTCAACCCAGACCAGGCTAAAAGTGTATTACTATCAACTCTAAATAAAACTTTTTTATTTTTAAAAAATATTTATTTATTTATAATATATCTTTATTGATTTCAAAGAGAGGAAAGGAGGGGGAGAGAGATAGAAACATCAATGATGAGAGAGTCATTGATCAGCTGCCTAGCCCGCAACCTGGGCATGTGCCCTGACCAGGAATCGAACCCCGATCGCCTGGATCCTAGGTCAATGCTCAACTGCTGTGCCATGCCCGGCTGGGCTAAATAAACCTTTTTTAAAAAACCTTATACACTTAAAAAAAATTATTATTACTATTTTTAAATTTATTTTTATTGTTGAAAGTATTACAGGTATCCCATTTTTTCCTCCCATTGACTACCTCCCCACTGCACCTGATCCCTCCCCATGCCTTCACCACAGTATTGTCTGTGTCCATGGATTATGAATATATGCATATAAGTTCTTTGGTTAATCTCTTTCCACTCCCCACCCCCCTTCCCTCTTCCTTCTGAAACAGAACAGTCTGTTGCATGTTTCAATGTATCTGGGTCTATTTTGTCTGTCAGTTTATTTTGTTGATTAGCTTCTTAAAGAAGATCCTTCAACATTTCATGTAATACTGCTTTGGTGGTGATGAACTCCTTTAGCTTTTTCTTATCTGTGAAGCTCTTTATCTGACCTTCAGTTCTAAATGATAGCTTTGCTGGGTAATCTTAGTTGTGGGTCTTTGCTTTTCATTACTTTGAATATTTCTTACCTCTCTCTTCTGGCCTGCAAAGTTTCTGTTGAGAAATCAGCTGGCAGTGGTATGTGTGCTCCCTTGTAGATAACTGCTTTTCTTTTGATGCTTTTAAGATTCTCTCTTTGCACGGCCGGGCTTGGCTCAGCGGTTGAGCGTCGACCGGGGATCCAGGCGATCAGGGTTCGATTCCTGGTCAGGGCACATGCCTGGTTGTGGGCTTGATCGATGACTCTCTCATCATTGATGTTTCTGTCTCTCGCTCTCCCTCTCCCTTTCCTCTCTCTGAAATCAATATATATTAAAAAAAAAAAAAAAAAAAA